TGTTCTGATATGGGGAAAGGTTCTCCATCGATTGGGTTCGAGTCTGAATTCCTTTCTCTCATGGGAAAATTTGATATTTTGGTTACTTGCTAGTTCAGGTAACCGTAATTCAACTCTTCTAAAGAGAATTGCTGCTCAAGGCACCATCTATGGGTTATGGAGAGAACGAAATAGTAGGTTCCATGACAAAACCTCTCTCACTGCAGACTGCATTTTCAGGCAAATTGATAGATCAATCCAAGATACTCTCCTAGCAAGACGCTGGCGCAAGGGATGTAGTAATCTTCTTCTTCAATGGTCTAGGTTTAGCTAATTGAATGATCTGCTTTGTTGCTCTTGGTTAACTTTCTCTTGGTTTTTTACTCTTTTTTTTAGGCCAAAGAAGTTTTAGGCTTATTAGCTCTTATATTTGACTTTCCTTTTGGTAATAATACACATTTTATAAAAAAAAAATATTAATATGATTTGAAAAAGTCATACAAATAGAGCAAACACAATTAGAGAATCAAACAGAATTGGCAAGTGTGAAAAGTACCCTTTATACATAAAACACAAACTGAGTTTGTTGAATTCGAGAAAGACCAGAATAGTAGTACACATATTCGTTCATTATTTTATTAGTATCGAGACATAGCCAAGAATATATGAAGTTGAGGTAGTAATCGAACACTACCAGAAAGAAACTAACTTTTTTCATACCCATTTACCAGTATGTATGGTTTTAGACTTTTAGTTATCCTATAATTTGGAAATATGGGAGAGGGCCTTGTTTCATTTAAATCACTCACGTATTTCCACCTTATGTTCTTTTACTTCGCTTGGGTTCATCTCTTACTTCCTAATTAGCTCTTTACAAAGGTATGTGACAAAAAACAGTGTTGTTATTAGCAAAATGAGAACATGCTAAATGAGATTCTTACTTGCTGGCCTTATCTTGTGAAGATCAAATATCTTTGCTAAGTCCTCTTTTATCCTATGTGACCCCGCTCTTCATATTCAACAAAGCTACTCAAGAATTTGAATTTCTACGGCTACTGCTCCTTTCTCACAATTCCTTTACTTTTGCGCTAAAAAATCTTAAAGAAATGTCAAAAATTAATATTAGTAACCATCTTATTTTGAAAAGGAAACGTTTGCAAGAGTAACTATTACATTCTATTCCTAATATGAAAACTTGTTCAACTATTATGTGGAACAATAGCAGATGTGTAAACTTGTATTTCTAGAACTATTTACGAAATCAACTCTTTGTACGTTCCCAAAATCACCTCAACAAAATTATATGGTAAGTAGAATGAAAAAGTTCAAGGAAGTGAAAGCTTACCAATCCGTATCTTCAACCTCAACCATGATCGCTTCCATCAATTTCCCTCACTTCTATGTTACGAGTCCCAATTTCTCTCGTATCATTCATATTATTCTCCCTTGCTCACCAATCTCTGTTCCACATCTCCTACACCATTAATTCCTCCCTTTTGTCTCTGAATTATATTCATCAATTGTTGTCCTCTCTTCTTTTCCATGGGCCCAACCATTATCACCATATTTACTTTATGAAATTCTCTCTCTCCCACCCATATGTGAAAATATGAAACTATCTCTTCCTCTTTAAACAATAATCAGGTTTATGACTTGCGACATAACTGAATAGGACACCCATTTCATTTATACAAATTCTGAGAATATACACCCAACGTCAATTGTGCGATTTTTGAAAACATATGTCCTAATGGATTGGATTCAATTTATTGTTACTGAATCAGAGGCACACAAGAAAAGCATGGCAGTTCGTCCTCATATATGTTAGTGTTGCTAAATGTGGAGATTTGAAACATGTATCAGTAGATTAAAAAGATGTATGACAAAAGCAAAAGACATGAACACAAATAACTATCCATAAAGCATTTCACTTTCTCATTAGTTTAAATGATGTGATTCTACTCAAAACATTCTTACAAGACTATCTTTACTAACATTAGACGTAATCTATTCTAACTTAAATCAGATCTATTGACTCAACAATTCCACTTCTTTTGTAACGTACCGCGTAAATCCATTGTTTGATCAAATGCTCCGCTCGAGGTTGTAAAATGCTTGTTGTGATAAAAGTTTTAAAATCCAAAATTACTAAGCCCAAGTGCAAGCAACGAGTAGTAATTAGGG